GATAGAATAGAGGCTGACTTCCTCTTTTATTTCTTGGAGAAAATTTGCACAGCTTTAAAGTAAGCCATGCTTACAAAATACATGCATTAACCTTTTGTAAAAATGTCATTATGCATGCATGTTCACATAGTGCCAGTGAATATCGGATGTTACTCAAATCCACTCTACCATTCCTAATCAAGTCAAACAAACTTCTTCCGGCTTCTTTCATTCAACAATTAATTGTTTTAAAGAAACTTTAAATAAGGCTGTGGAGTAGAGCTACATTGTAAGAGTTTGAAATAGTAGTTGTCTTTATTTTTACTGAAGAAAATTCCAGAAAATGTTCTGGTCAATTCTCCCACATATTGTAGGGGTGGGCATTATCTCTACTTATGTTACTTGTTGCCTCATATTTATCTGATGGTGCAGGAGCATGTGTGTATTCTGAGATTAATTAGGAGATTCCCATTTATTTCCTGTGCCTTACATTTGGGTTTTTTTTCCATATTATATTCAGAGTTCCCATACCAGTGCTTCTCAAGTTTCTGAAGTGTACTCCTGGAATCAATGAATGGTGAGGTTTTGTTTTAAAATTATGACCAAGTCTGTGTTCTCATAATGACTTGTTAATAGCATATGAAATACTTGATCATTTCCTTCTTCGAACACTTCTTTCTCTTGGCTCTTTTGGTGCTCTATCTACATGACTGCTTACTTCCTCCCAGGCTCTTTTGTTGAATTTTCTTAATCTCCATAACCTTTAAATGCTGTAGTCACCAAGACTTGGTTTTTCCTTCCTTATCTACTCTTATTTCTAAATGATCTCCTGCCTCATGATTTGAAAGATTATGCTATGCTAGTTGTCAAATTTATACTGTCTCAGAACTCTATGCTAAATTTCAGACTCATATTTAATTACTAACTCCATATTTTCATTTGGATATCTGATAGATACCTTAAACTACATGTTGAAACTCAACTCCTGATTCTCCACACTCCCCCAAAACTCATTGATTCCCACTGCCTTTCAGCTTTTAAAGTGACTACTCTATCCATCTGTTTGATCTGACCAAAATCCTTGTCACCATTCGTCTTTTTTCATACCCACAGCACTTATTCTTTAGCAAATCCTATCAACAACTTTTCTCCCACTCTTCCCACAACAATTCTGATTTAAATCAACACACATCTTACCTGGATTCTTATAAAAGCTGGTTGTTTGTCTTACATCTTAGCCTACACACAGCTTCCAGAGTGATCTTTTATAATCATATCATATCCTGTTACTCAGTCCTCAAAACCAACCAGTGGGATTAATTTTATTGTTGTCTATATTATTATTAATATGACAAAATTCTTGGCCTTCAGGAATGTAAAATGCAGCATAAAGTGGGAAATGAGAGAGAGTAAATAAATTAAAAATTACTGTGGTGGTTAAAGAAGGAAAAGAATGATTCTAGGCAGGAGGAAGAGGGAGGGAAGATATTATAGAAGGATGATACTTATTCTAGGTCTTGACAGTGGATAATAGAAGCCTCATGAAGCATATCTAAAAGGGAAATAGTGTGTGCAGTGGAATGATCATAAGAGGAAAGATAACTTATTTGAAAAACTGAGAGATGTTTATTAGGTTTGGGTCTCTGGGCTCATAATAGAGGAGTAGCAAAGAGAAGACTGAATAAATAAGTGGATATCATAAAATCATATACTTTGTGTGTCACAAAGGTGGCTGGATTGTAGCCTGCAAGTTATATAAAGCCACTGAAATATTTTAAACGTGGTCATATTAGCAATCAAAAAATAATTCTGGGTAGAAGGGTTAGAAAATGGGAGTTAGAAAGCTACTGAAATAATGTATGTAAACTTATAAGAAATTTGCCCAAGAAAATAAATGAAAAGGGGCAATACAGAGGTAAGAGATGGGAAATAGTTTAAACCAATGTCATATTAAGGTCACTTTGAAACAAGGGAAAACAGGTAAGAAAGTAGAAATATTTTGATAGCTCGTAAACTAGAAGAGGAATAAGTTGAAAATGAAATTGAATGCAAAATTTCCATTCTGGACATATTGTGTTTAAGATAAATACACAGTACATAAGACTTAAGCCACTTAAGAAGGCTGTGGAACATCCCAGTGGAACATTCAATAAGAAGAGGCCGTTTGGAAGAGATCTGAGCTGCAGGTAGAAATTTGGAGATCATAAGTATATGTGTGTCCGCTAAAACCATACATGTAAATGACTTTATAAAATTTGGAGATCTTAAATATATGAGTCCATAAAAGCATATTGTCCAAGGAGAGTACATAGCACAAGAAATGAGTAGCACTGAAACCCAAGCTCTGCAAAACACCCACATTTAAGGGTCACATGGAGGAAGAGCAGTCTGAGAAAAAGACTTGAAAACATAGATAAGGATTCAGGAGGAGAATTCTGAAGTCCTAAAGGGTAAGAAAAGAGAGTTAAAAAGTAACTAATCAACAATGTCACTCCCTGTGGAAAAACAGTAAGGTTGAAAACTTATGGCAGCTGATAATTTGGTGACTAGCACAGAACTGCTTTATGCAGCCTATTTGTTAGGAATTGATCTTTGTTATATACCAATAGGAAACCAATTTTCTTTTCATTTATTCAATATACTTTTCCATGTCTGTGTAGTTTGTGGCTAATATGGCCTCTTAAAATAAAATAGATGCTCCAAAACAAAGCCCTTTTCTTTCGTCATTGAAAGTCCTTGTTCCCTAAAACATAGGATCACCTGAATTTGGGCCATTTCCCTTTATCAAAATAGTCATCCTGTAACTCTATAAACATATAAAATTCTCAAACATTAATTTTAATAATTCTTAATTTGACATATATTTATTATCCTTAAAACATTCTTTTATCTCTTCCATAGAAATGGTAGCACCTTTGTGTTTTACTTTGCAACCCTCATCAAAAGTGTTGGGCTTTATAGAAGTCTCCATTGGCCACTGTCTGAGATGTGGCCTTTACCCCTCCTTGTTTGCAGCTTACTCATTTTATAAGTAAAAAAAAATACATAAATAAAAGGTGTAAGATTAAAGTGAGCAAGATAAAAGAGGATAATAAAAGAAGTGAGGCTGAAAAAAGGTGGCTTCCAGAACTCCTTGAACAATAACAGGCCCTCATTCATAATAAGGAGACACTTTGCTGGAAGCCTTCTTTCAAAAATGTAGTACAGTGCATAACCTTGGAAAGATAAGGTGAAGTCAAACTGCTACAGGGAAGAGTTATTCTCCTCCAATTCCAGTATATAAAACTTAAACTTTTCTTACATTCTTCCAATACTTACTGGGGAAGTGACAACATCTGTTCTGAACCAATGCAAAGTTTGCATCAAAGAAATAGGAAGGGATGCAATTTGAATAAAAAGAAGTAAACCAAGCAAGAGCCATGATCATGAACAAGGTTTATACTAGCAGCATACTCAACTCCTTTCAAAAAGGTAAGAATAACACAACAGCTTTCAATTACACCTAAACCACATTGTCCTCACACAGAACATCTGGTAATGTTCAGTTGCAAATTCCCAAAGGATTTTACACTTATTAAATTCTTATTAAAATTAATAGCGGGCCTTCAAGGCATGGCAATATTGTAACAGCCCTTTATCAAGAAAATATTATAATCCGAAATAATAAAACTGTCTTCAACTTTAAGAAAATTAAGTCCAAATATTATATACAGGAAACTAGTTAAATTTATTCCTGAGGAATGTTATTCCTTTCCATACCATATTGACACACTGATTATTTATTCATAACACAATGTCATGAACATTAGCGATGAATACTTCTGTATGATGACAACAGATATTCCCACAAGTTCAAAATCCTAATTATTCCCATTCTTATATTCCTTTATGCTATAATTAACTGGTTTTAGTGACTGGAATATCATTTTGCATACTGTGTCATTGTCACAGTCTGATAAATACCACTGTTTAAAAAGTCACCCTTTATATGGCCTAAATCTCTTCTTGAGACATATCAACACTGCCTAATTAAGAAATTTATGTATAAATTGAAGTTGTTGTTTGCCTACTTTTCTAAATAGTCTTTTGCACCCTGACTTCAACTTTGATGGCCATGCATTCTCTGCCTCTCTTTCTGTTTCTCTGTATATCTGTCTATGAGTGTGTCTCTCGCTGATTCTGTTTGTATGTTTCTGTATACATCTGTGTGTATAAATTTTATTTTTCTTCTGTGTGTGCTGTGTGTAGCTACTGTACTTATATCTTGCCATGGGGTGTGTGGGTATGGGTATCTCTTTTTTTATTGGGATAAAATTGATGTGACATAAAATTCACTGCATTAATCAGTTTAAACTGTACAATTTAGTGTTTTTTTAATATATTCACAAGGATATGCAACCATCACTACTAAGTACAGAATATTTTGATCACCCTAAATAGAAAGATGGTACTCATTAAGCAGTCATTCCCCAATTTTTCCTCTCATTAGCCCCTAGCAACCACTAATCTTTCTGTCTCTATAGATTTGCCTGTTATAGACATTTGATATAAATGGAACCATACAATAAGTAACCTTTCGTGTCTAGCTTCTTTCATTTAGTATAATATTTTCAAGGTTCATCCATACTGTAGCATGTTTCAGTACTTCATTCCTTTTTACTTTTAAATAAGTGCTAGTCTAGGTTCTTTGTATCTTCAAGAGTGAGCATGTGTGTGTCTCTCTCTGTAGATGTCTTTGTATGCATATTTCTTACTCCCTCTCTCTGTTTCTGGTAACTGTATTTTTATTAGAGAAATACTGGCTACACTCTTCATCTCTGAGTGTATTTGTGTACCTGTGTATACAGATAGACAGACATAGGTAAACACTACAAGAGACTTAGACAATCAATGTTATGAGCTTGTTTACAGAAAGACTGTATTTAATGATTATGGGTTCTTTTTCTTAGAATCTTGCTGGGCTATCAAAGGTAACTGCAGACCCTCCACAGAGGGCAGTTTTGAAATAAGAGGAATCTCACCTTACATACAGACTCTTTCTGGCACCAGCAGTCCCACATAACTAGACATAAAGGGCCTGTTCCATAACAAGTGCATAGTCACTTGGGCAAAGAACTGAAAAATTAAAACAAGAGCTCCATGTCAGAGAAGGTGGCATTAAAAAGGCACATCTGCAAATGTCCAAATCAAATTACCTTCTATCTATTATATTAAGGCTCCTTTTCAAGCCATGTTCCACACTCTCCAAAATCACAATTGTTACAATCACAATTCATAAGTGACAGCACACACTATGTTGTTACGTTCATAATCTCATTTTGTTCCCAACTGACTACAAAAAAATAATTACAAACTCTTTATTATGGCTTTCCAGCAGATCCACAACCTATCTACAATTCATAGCTTTAAGATCATCGACTGCTTTCTTCCGCTTCACCCTAACAGCTCGTTACTCACCTTGAACACAGCGTGCTTCTTCCTAGTGCTAGTTCCTCACCTTGAGGTATCTGGGTATCTTTCCTTTTCTGGTCTACATGACCTCTTTCAAGTACCAGATCAAATGTATTTACAATTCTCTGGTTTCTCCCTATCTTCTCACTACCCAATGAAATTAATCTTGCTCACTTATACACTCACATTTTAAAAACAATCCTATCGTGGGACCGATCCTAATTTTATTACAGCTATGTATTTACTTTTCTAAATTCCTTCTAACATATCAGATTCTGGAGTATTTTATTTAGTTGTTCATACCCAGTGCTTAACAAAATGCCTGGCACACACTAGATTCTGAATAAATTTTGGTGGAATTGGATAATTTTAAAACTTCATTTAGGTAGTGTGAAATTCACATGGCTTTTTGAATGATGAAACTGAGAAGAAGAAAAAGAGAGGGAAGTGAGCGGAATCTAAATAAGAACATGATTTCTAAGCCCAACCTATAAGGAAGAGTGCCCGGACACGGGCTCCATCGTCTTTGTGGCTGGCGCGCCAGGCGAAGAGTTCCTGTGTGCAGTCGGCGAACAATGTCACATTAGTGATGACAGCTGCCAGGCACTTGGGGAAACTTGCTGAGTACCATGGCCCACTGAAGCAGCAATTTTTCTCAAATCAGTTTCAGTTTCTCAAATGCTGAGTATGCAGTGATATTTCAAAGTACTCTCTGGAGATGCACTCAAGCACCAGCAGGAGTTCCAAGCTATTGTTCCATTACATCAGGTGTTATTTTTATGCTTTTTTTAAAAAAAGAGAAAAAGACACAAAAACTTCAGAGAGGACATAATTCAATGCTTTTTGGTCAAGTACAATCCCCACTAGTTCCTTTCTAGCGCCCTAGATGTTATCACCCCAATATTCAAATCTAAGTCTGCAACCAACTTGACCTATTGAATGAGCCTGATTATGAGACATTTTAGAGTTAGTATCCTCATTCTTTCTGTGCATATGGATTAAGTATCTCTAGGTTTCTTTTAAATGAGCAAAAATATCTCTTTTCTCCCAGCTGAGATGAAAGAATCTGATGTTAGAAAATAATTTTATATTTTGATTTATATTTTTATTCTTTTCTAATATCAGAGAACTCAGATATTTGTCTAAGTCGGAGAAAGAGAAACCATGTTTCATGCTGTGAATCAAAACTAAAGATATGCAAACTTCATAAGGAGGCAAAGAGAAGAGAGACTAAAGTAGAAAAGGGGAAATAAGAGGAGTATAAGGAGGAGATAAGTTGAGCCCAGTGAGGAAAACACTTTCCTGACAGCTAGACAAAGGGAAACCACACTGAAGATACTGTGTCTGATACAGTAGCCACCTTCTGAGCACTTGAAATGTAGCTAGTCCAAACTAAGATATTCTATAAATGTAAAATTGTACACCAGAATTCAAAATGTAGTATGAGAAAAGGAATATAAAACAGTTAATTAATAACTTTCATATTGACTACATGTTCAAATAATATTTTGAACATAGTGGGTTAAATAAATTAAAATTACCTTCACCTGTTTTTCATGTGACTACTAGAAAATTTTAAATTGCATATTTAGCTCACCTTACATTTCTATTGGACATGGCAAATGTTTTTAAATTCAGATTTGAGTAAGTAAACAATTATTTGAAATAATTATTGTAATAAGAGGAAAGGGACTATTACAACAGAGAATGCTCTAACCACAAGATCTGCAAAAACCTCAAAGTTAGGCAGAAAGGAATATGTATATGTAATATATATACATATTATATATGTAATATTATATATATTATTTTGTATATTATATATAAAAGATATTTGTCTCAGATATTTGTCTAAGTCAGAGTAATATTATATATTATATATAATATGTATATATACACATATATAATATGTATATATTACATATATATTCCTTTATATATAATATATAATATATGTATTAAATATATAATATACCATATATTCCTATATATCTATATTACATATAATATATAGATATATAGATATATATATTATGGCTTTCTAGCAGATCCACAACCTATCCACAGTTCATAGCTGTTTGTAACTGAACCTATCACAGTTCATATATATATAAATATATATATCACACTTCATATATATAAATATATGTCACAGTTCATATATAAATATATATCACAGTTCATATGTAATATGTAAATATATATTATATAAACATATATAATATATATATATATCTATTAATCAGACAGGCAAACAAGACTGGAAAAAAATGAATGTGGAGAAGTAGGTGGCACGTCTGGACAATTGTTCAAGGAATGTATTTCCTTGCAGTCAGCTGATTCACAAGACGTACAGTTAAGAGAACAAGACACAAAGGTTTGTTTGCTGTATCAGGCTAGGAAGTATTAAAGTTCAGGGACTCAGGAAAGGAGAGAAGTTTAACTAAGTTTGTCAGCTTAATTAATAGCACATTGTTCCGACTGATCAATAGGGCAAACAAATCAGCTAATATTTTATGGGGCAAAGAAATGGGAATGTGGAGGGTCTGTGTCTGGCCTTAGCATAAGCAAGCAAGGGCGGTGTCCATGAGCCTTATCTGAGTCATATGGAGAAAGGTGGTTCTTCATGATAAGCTATTTTCCTGGGACACAAAGGGTGGGAGATTTCTTAATTGTCCTTGTTTTCCAGGATCATAGGTTCCAGTAAAATTCAGCATTGTCAGACAGTGTATTTCTAGAATCTAAGTTTAGCACTATTTCCAGAGTGGTGGTTAAAATAAGATGTAGAGTAAGAAAAACTAATTTCAGATCTCAGGCCTGCCATTACCAGCTCTGTGAACTTGGACAGTTTACGTAAGTTCTGTTTGCCTCAGTTTTTTCATTTCTCAAAAGTATTTACTTCACAGGGCTCTTATGTTTGTGGAAATAAACAAAGAGCACCAAAATGAAAACAGTAAGGCTATTTTTCAGAGCTTGCTATAGCAAGGGAGACAGCCACTATCCCTTGCATTTGGCAGAGACTCAACGGTAGACAGGGGAGTAAAAAATGTTTATAGTGGCAAAAAGGGAAGATGTTGGACATGTTCCGATTGCAGATTGTTGGCATAGTGAAGCTGGAAACAGGCTAACTAGAAGCAGAACATCTATCTCATATCACTGGTTTGGAGAACATATTTGGCTTTCTTTGGTTGGTCTGAAGTTGGAAGCAAGGGTGGGGGCAGTGGAATAATGAAGCTCCCTGTTACTGACCAAGTCCTGGCTTCCTGGGTTGAATACTGCAGAGGTTGACATTTAGTTTCCCTGGTTGCTGCAGAGGATATGGGGCAAAGTTCTACTGGTTATTTAAGTTCTGGTCACAACAGTTTGTACATTTAGTGTCTCATGACGATAAAGTGAGATAGTACATGTAAAGTGCTTAATAAATGATTTGACCCACGGTGAGAATCAGCTTTAATTTGACACCATCTTCTTTTCTTAGTAGGTAATACATAGCTCCTTACTCTTACTTGGGCCAGTTTTGTTAAGTATAATAGGAAACAATCTATCATATGTCAAAAGCTGGCTCTCCAAATATTAACACAATTTGGTGATAAGACAAAGCTGAGTTATTGCTTTTTAAAGACAATGGAGAATATCATCTTTCAAAGCTTTTACAGTATTTCAGAGGGGGAAAATGAGGTTGGAAGTTATTAAAAATTGGAAATTGGATTAAGGCGAGGTTTTCAATGCAGCGACTTCGTTAGGGTAGGAATCATGATAAAACCATTCCAGGTTTGGTGGAAATAGTAAGATGATGATTTTGAAGGATTCCAAGAATCTTAGGGCATGAACTCTCTGTTGATATTGTCTGTTAAAGAGTTGGTGAGTCTTTTTAGAAGTTCCTGTAGTCAACAATCACACCACTTGCTGGAGGAAGATGGCCCTGGGAGAATAAAGACATGTTAATGAATATGAAAGTAATATTAATATAGACAGTAAGGTATTATTTCAGTTGTCAGTGCCTAAACTGAATGGGGGAAGAAGATTTTGGTTCTTACATAGATTATACCTATTTATGTCTATAAATTTTAATTAGGTATTCAGTTACAAAGAGCTTGATCTAATTTAGAAAATTTGTATCTGCCATGATCGTTCTTTTTCTCAATGTTTCCAAAAAGCATTCTCCAAAGAGGCATACTTCCTCGAGATACAAAAGGCAATTGCTGAAAAATGTGCTATGGTTGAATAAGATTGACAAGTTTTTCTAGATCTTCCTCTTTTGATATATAGTATACTAGAATATAATAAAATGTCTGAGAAGTAGAGCATTTCAGACTCCTCTTTAACTTGTTTAATTCAAAGGCTTTGAGTGTAACTCATTTATTTGGGAGGTTAGGAGTTGATCCTTGGAAGCACCATTAGAATAGTGGGAAATGAAACAAACAAAGGAAAACAACCTAGTACGGGATGTATTAATGAGCAGACTGCCAGTGCACACACCAGGGGCTCGGTGCTGCTGGGAACACGGGGAGACAGTATGAAAGGAACTTCAGAGTTATTCCACCTAAGTTGGTTGTAATCTACAGATTATTTATGCTCGAACTCTCATCATTGGTTGAGTGGTGTTCTTACGGGCATTAACTTCTCCAACACTTCTGACTTGCGTTGGGCAAAGGCTAAGAGAAAGCTCTGAGACAGAGAGCCACAGGATTTTAAAAGTCAATAATACGTACCCATACTACAACAGTGAATGCTATTACAACAATCAGTGTTGAAGGGGATAAGCTTTTGGCTCCAGTGGCATCTGCTACAGTCTGCCACTTGCAATTCTCAAATTCACTCATCTCCCAAGATAAGTTCAATTTGCTCTATCACTGCTTCTTCAAGTTGATGGTCCATAACAATTTCTAAAAACAAATAAGACTTACAACAAGAAGAATATTGGGAATTTATAACAGAAAATGGGGTAAGCTACAGTCTTCACTATTGCAGTTGATATTGAGGTTAAAATTGATATTGTACATCTCCTGCTATCACTCACTCTATTTCCTTTAAGTACCTTAAGCAGTACTTCAGCTTGTCTCTGAGAAGTATAAGCCCTGCCTATTGTATCTTTGTGTTGGCTTTAATAACCCACTGGTAGTTACCATTACACATTAAAACTTCAAGAACTCCAGGAACATAGGGTGAATATGGTAAGCAATAATGTATTTTCTCGAACAGCTAAAAGTGAGACTTTTGCATGTTACTAACACAAAAAAAGATAATGTTTTGAGGTGATGGATATTCTAATTACCCTGATTTGATCATTACACATTGTATACATTTATCAAAATATCATGTACCACACAAATATGTACAATTATGTGTCAATTAATATGAATAAATAAAAATAATTTTTAAAAGAGAATTCCAGAAAAGTTGTGGATTTCAAATGTACTCTTTCCTATCTTTATTACATAGCAGCAACTTCATCTTCTTGTTATAATGCTGGTTAATTACTTATCGGTATAGTAACTTCATGGAAATGGTTATTAGTGGGAACACTACTGTATTAGGGTTCTCTAAAGGGACAGAATTAATAGGATAAATGAATATATTAAGGTGAGTTTATTAGGAGAATTGATTCACATGATCACAAAGTGAAGTCCCACAACAGGCCATCTGCCAACTGAGGAGCCAGGAAGCCAGTCAAAGTTTCCAAACCTCAAAAGTAGGAAAGCCGTCTGGGCGCGTTGGCTCACGCCTGTAATCCCTGCACTTTGGGAGGCCAAGGTGGGCAGATCAGGAGGTAAAGAAATCGACACCATCCTGGCCAACATGGTAAAACCCCATCTCTACTAAAAATACAAAAATTAGCCAGGTGTGGTGGCATGCGCCTGTAGTCCCAGCTACTTGGGAGGCTGAGGGAGAAGAATTGCTTGCATCCAGGAGGTGGAGGTTGCAGCGAGCCAAGACTGCACCACTGCATTCCAGCCTGGCAACAGAGCAAGACTCCAACTCAAAAAAAAAAAAAAAAGTAGGGAAGCTGATAGTGAAGCCTTCAATCTATGGCCAAAGGCTTGAGAGCCCCTGGCAAACCACTGGTGTA